CACGACGAACTTGAATCAGATGCAATGGGGAACATTCTTTCCGGTCTATACTACTCTCGCCTCGATCGGTATGTTTAGTCCCACAGGGACTACTTCTGATGCAACTAACGAAGTACAGGTTTGATCTATTGTGTGATTTCCCCCTTGATCTTGGTCTTCAACATCATCACCTTTGGCCTGTTCTGGTTCGTGTACAGATATAACACTCTGTACGTCACCAAATTCCGCTTTGACACTGGCGGGCTACTATTCCCTCGCGCTATCAACCAGCTCTTCACGGGGCTATATGTTATGGAACTCAGCTTGATCGGCCTGTTCTTTTTGGTCCGTGATGTGGACGGCAACGTTGCCTGCGAAGGGCAAGCAATATGCATGATTGTGGTTTTGATTCTCACAATCGGGTACCAAATCCTTCTGAACGAAGCCTTCAGCCCGCTGATCCGTTACTTACCGATCACCTTGGAGGATGATGCTGTTCGTCGTGATGAGGAGTTCAGTCGCGCTCAGCGTGCCCGCCTTGGCTTCCCTGAGGAAGATCAGACAGACACGATCGAGCACCAGCTGGCAGAGCGGGAACATCAAGAGCACGAAGCAGATAGGAGGGCCCACGAGATCGAACTGAAGAACATCGAAGCGGGTTCTGGGCGGCGAGCATCAACTCAGACGGGCACTCTCCACAACAGCCGCCATCATTCATGGGCAGATCGGTCCTCAAAAACACGATCTAAATATTTTGGAACTCATTCGAGCGGTTCAATGCCTACCTTGCAGAGAGTCCGTGAGAAGATCGCGCATGACGCCGAAGCCCAGGGCCCTCCTACGGGTAACCTAGGGCACGCATTGTTTGCCGGTATTCATGACGAGTTGGAGGATCTCACACCAGATGAGCGTGATCAACTGACTCAGCGAGCGTTTCAACATGACGCTCTACGGGCAAAACGTCCCGTAATATGGATTCCGCGAGATGATCTTGGAGTGAGTGATGACGAGATTTACCGAACTCAACGGTTCAGCAAGCACATCTGGATCAGTAACGAGTATCAGGCACTCGACGGCAAGTGCCGCACCATCTTCAGCCGCAGTCCGCCGGATTTCTCAGAAGTCGATCTCATTCAGTTATAGATACCTCTTCCTGCTGTTATTTCCTGTCAGCAAGCAAGCTGACATCGGAGTCTTCTTTGGCGATCATTCTCCTTCAACCCATCCCTTTCTTTGCTTTTATGAATGTCCTCTTCCCATTTGAATTAGCGATGCGCATCGATCACCACGGAGTTTTGCTTGTATGCTAAGGTGACATGACCAGACTTGATCAATCACATGTAACTAGACGATGTTAGAGTGTACATAATCACTTCAAGATCATTCCTTCTTGCCAGACCATTCGCTTGATTATAGTTTACTTTTGTGTAATATATAAGCTGGCGACCAGTTTGGCTCCGATACCTAGCTTGCAATATATACAATCCCCACCAGAGGTTGGCATATGAAAGCATAGACACTTGTTACTGAGGAAGAAAGCCAGTGCAGTAGGAGACATTGAAATATCCAAGTAGTATATCATATCCATCTATCGATTATCCCAGGGTATATCACTTAATCCATAAACTTACACAAGGGCAGGCGATAATTGTCAACCACCCAGTATGGCCTGCGGACACCAGTCCACTCTCCCTCGAGCTTGGGCACCTTGAGCTCTTCCCACTCTACATCAAACCCGGCTTCAAACAGGTCCATCTCTACCACTTTCTGATAGACATCGTAGCTAATTTGCCGATCAGCCCCCATGCCATTGAAGAAGCCCCATTTGCCCTCCTGCTCCAGCAACCCGATAACCTGCTCGCTGAAGAACTCCCGGAAATCAGCATACGACTCAGCAAATGTGTCATAGTAGATCGCATCAAATGTCTCGCCCTGCGCCACCAGCGCAGGCAGGATATCCTGCCAGCGCCCCTCGTGGATCACAACGCCGGGCTTCTCGTGCCAGCCCTTCCGCTTCATTTCCGCCACGACGTCCGGGTGCGCTTCGACGATATGGTGCGCCGCGGGCGACTGTTCCTGGATGAAGCCGTCAACGATGCCCATGCCGTGGCCGATGTTCATGACACGCAGCCCTGTAGTCGGGAGCAGCTTCTTGGCGGATCGGGACATGATCTCCGTCTCCCAGGCCATCATCACGCCGTTCTGGTCCTGGTCGAGCAGTCGGTCGTTTGTGAAGGTCAGGTTCGAATCGAGGTAGCGCGAGCTCGTGACGTCCGGTTCTGGCCCTGGTCCTGCTGTGCTTGCCTCGGTGGCGCTGGCAGTGGTTGTCTCGACTAACTCCGGAGCCTCATCCTGCTCCTCTTCCGCAGCCGGTTCGTTGGCGGCGTCCTCGCCTTGTCCCGTTTCTTCCTCGTCCTCGTCATCAGAGAGCGGCTCGTACCCATCCAACCGGTTGAGAAGCAACTCCGCCCGCACACCCGCATCCACAATCATCTCATACAGCTCGGTCAACCCCAGCCGCCGCGCGATACACCCCGGCGTCTCATCGTTCAGGTCCAGGTCATTCCAGATCGCGCCCTCATGCAGCAGGAACTTGACCGTCTCCGCGGCGGACTGCACGAGACTCTTCTGCTCCGTGCTGGCGCTGCTCGTCTGGCCATTGGCGCCATTGGTCTCTGGTTGTGGCTCGTCGGGCTCGCAAGCTGCGATCGCTGCGTGGAGAGGCGAGAAACCTGTCTCGGGGTCTTTCACGTTGGCAGGGTTGCCGTCTTTATCGTTGGAGCGGATGAGGCGGCGGAGTTTGGGTATGTCGTGTTGTGAGGCGGCGAGGAGGATTTCTTGGACTGTGAGATCGACATTGGAATCGAGGTCTGCGAGGGGGTCGGCCATTCTGTATCTGGAAGTCAGTAGCTTCCTCGCTGTGATTGTAGATGTGCTGGTATGGAAATCGATGAGGCTGATAATGAATTTGTCTGAACTCTGGAGAATTCTGGATCAGAATACGTACCTGTATGTTTTCTGGGGATACAGCACGCTGATCCCTGAATAAGTGCTAATTTCCGCTTCTTGTTGGAGAAAGAGATATGTGCAGGCCTCCGATATTGAAAAAAAAAATGAGTCCCGCCCACCGCTTTTATCGCATCCCCGCACTGCTTATCCATCCACTCTTTGACAGAAGAGCGGACAGGCGTCATCGACGACGAAGAGATGTTTAACGTGAAGATCGCGATTTAAAGTTAAGGGTAACAGCGCTTGTTGCTAAGATTAGTGGACTATTGGTTACTGTCGACAGCGGATAGGTCCTACGAGGATTCTGAGAAGGGTTCCACGGCAATTGTCGTAGAAGATGCAACAGTAGAGAAGAGAAACAATTCGCCAGGTTGCACTGAAATCCTGAAGATCAACTATTTATACAGATAACATGTTCCGCATCCTAGATCGCGACCCGAGCGATTGCAATAGCGCCAGTAATTCTGATCCGAGAGTCCCTAAGCATTTGCATTTACTTCGATTCGTCTCCGCGTGATGCGTTGACATTGAGACCCAGACCCTGGGTGTCAAGGTACAACTTGTTCTTTCCGCCGCTCTCGTGCAGGATCTGGGCGATCTGTCTCGCGTTTTCGATCTTACGGAGCTCGATGTAGCTCTTGCTCTTCTTGATTGCGTCACCGATAAGCTCCGCAGAGCGGGCCTCACCCTGGGCACGGACAATGAAGGCCTGCTTCTCCTGGCGGGCCTTGTCGACGAGGAAGGCAGCGCGCTGGGCCTCCTGCTGAGCGACTTGCTTGGCTTCGACGGCGGCGGTGAATTCGGGGGAGAAGGTCAGATGCTAGAGAGCCGAAATGAGCCAGATTAGTTATATAAACATTGATTGGGGGCTGTCCAAGTCAAAGGGTTCGTACAGTAAGAGACACATCGTCTAGAGCAATGTTAAAGCGGGCCGCACGGCGAGCAAGGTTGTCCCGAACGAGTCTCGCAACATTCTCACGCTGTGTAATCAGCTGGCTCGCGTTGAATTGCGCAACCACACTCTTGAGAACCTCATTAACGATGGACGGAAGGACACGTTCATCAAAGTCTGTGCCGAGGGTACGGTAGATCTGAGGAAGGGCATCTACTCGAGGCCTTGATAGAACACGGCAGGTGATGTTCACCATCTGCAAGTCCTTGGTACCCGTAAGGGAAGCGATGTTCCGTGGCTTCGCGCGCACGTCGTAGATGACCGGTGTTTCAACCCATGGGATTCGGAAATGTGTTCCTAAGATAGGTAAAGGTGTTTGTGAGATGATGTTGCCGTATGAATGGCCTCAGATAATGGCATCGGTACCTTCGTTGTAGATTTCTTTCTTGACTCCGCCTATTCTCGAGTACTTGATGGCACGGTGACCACCATCAACTGTTCACCGAATGACAAGTCAGCACTTCTATACTTCACGTTATCCATGATAAGAATATGCATCCTCACCGTTGAAGAGCGAGTTGGACAAAGCCCATCCACCGAGACCGAGCACGATGAGAGCTCCAGATACTCCGAAGCCGCCGCGACCACCTCCAGGAAATCCGCCTCCAAAACCAAAGCCTCCTTTACCTGCACGGTTCTGCAGAATTACCTGAAGCCGCTCCCACTGTTCCTTAGGATTCCGGGCCATGATTGCGGTTGAAAGATGTGAAGCTGACGTCGGAGAAGTGAGGTGTGGATGAACCCGGCACTTTGAGGTTCGATCAAAAGTTCGGCCACCGCCTGGAGACAGACAGCTCAAACAAGACAAAGCGTTTGGTCCTGCTCGCAGCTTTTCTTCATTATTGCAATACTTCATTCATCAAGACAGATCTCGAGCTTTGGTCTGTTGAAATTGTTACTGTTCTAGAACATCCTGCGATTTATCTGTAATTCTATTTACGTTTGCCTTCTACCATTACTCGCCCGGCGCTCCAAATTCTGCCATTAACTCACGTCACGCGCTCAGCTCAGAGCTTGCCTTCAGAAATAGAGCTCATTCGAAATCGATAAACGCAACAAAATGGCTCCAGAGAGGACCGGGAAGAGTGTCTTCCTGGGAAATATCCCTTATAGTATGTGCGCTTCCATTCGCCTCTGTTGCACTCCTGTCCAGTCTGGCTAACCAGTCCATTTCAGACCTTACGGAGGAACAGGTCAAAGATATCCTCAGCTCCGCTGGCACAGTTACCAAATTCCGTCTTATGATGAACCCGGAGACGGGGAAACCAAAGGGTTATGGCTTCGCAGACTTCGCCGATGCAGACGCCGCCGCCTCTGCGGTCCGAAACTTGAACGACTTCGAGATCATGGGCAGGAAAATCCGCGTGGACTGGCCTCACAACAACGAGAAGGATTCGGTGCCCCCTGACTACTCGCAGACATCTCAGATGCCCAGTCAGGATGTTCAACCCGGTCAGCAGCCATCTGCGCCGCTCCCCCCTCTTCCTCCCGGTGTCGAGGTGCCGCCTCACTTGGATTGTCCAAACGCTATCTCTCAGACACTTTCGTCCTTACCCCCGAACCAGCTCCTTGACGTTCTTTCACAAATGAAGTCTTTGGCAATGACCGATCCGGCCCGCGCGACGGAGCTCCTGCGACAGGCCCCGCAGCTGGCGTATGCCATTTTCCAGGCACTGTTGCTCATGAACCTCGTCGACTACAGCACTTTGGGAGCAGTGGTGGAGCAAGCGACACAGCCAACCGCTGCGGCCGCTCCTTCGGCTCCCCCTGCGGCACAGCCTTTTCAGCCCTTCTCAGCCGTACCTGGTCAGATCTCCACGCCACCAATGGTCAATACACCTTTTGCCCCTCAACCTGCGGCACAAGCGCCCCCCCAGCAACAGGTTCCATCGCAAGAAGAACTTCTACAGCAAGTGCTCAGTATGCCACAGTCAGCTATTGATGCTTTGCCACCGATGGAGCGGAATCAAATCATGCTTTTGCGTCAGCAGTTGATGCAAGGAGCCATGAGGTAGCGGCGCCCACGGGTGTACTTTCTTATTGCGGATACTTTTCGGTCATTTATTGCCATTTTCTTTCACTTTTTTTACCATCTTGTCAACCGGGAAAGGGATGGAATGGCGCACATGGTTCATTTATGGTCTACTGTGATTCACTTGCATATCTTCAGCGAATGTATACCTAGCAGAGGTTACTTGTAGCAGATACCAATCTCACGAAATGAACGTTTGTCTATGTTCCTGATGTCACTGTGGGAATCAGCATCGCACGTAACTTGCATATAATCGATGCTGCCTAGATTCTCTGGCCACAGAAACAAAATCAGGTGACGATGCGAGTGCTGTTGGTAACAGACTTCTGCACTATTCTCACGGACCTCAGGCTAGGAACGATATCACATTTCCAGCTTCATTCATGTCATTCCGATTCGCCAGGCGCTTACGGCCCTCAAAATTAAGGTCAATAGCGTCTGCACGCTCCACCCCCAGCAAGTTTTAATCCAGGTTTCTCCACTGCGATCCCTGACCGAATCTCTCACGGATCTGGTTCCCGTCACCCCTATCTATCTTGCTTGATCCCATGATCGGATCGACGCATGCTGCACAGCCGGAGCACGATTCATTCGAGCCACTGAGAATGTAACATGCAAGAGATTATAGGGGATAATTACCTGCAGTGCACGAATCAAGGTTGATCACCACGAGCTCTCGAGCCTTGCATGATCCCGAGACCCTCGTTGATCATCGATAGATCATAACCAACCTTGATTTTAATTCAATAACCCCCAGCGCTCGACCAACCATGTTGTGCGACCTCCCAAGCCATCCACAGCTGAGGAATGCGGGACGGGGCAGAAGAAGCAAAACACGCCAATGCCACCAACCACTCCCCCTGAACGCCCTCAGACGCAGCAGCAATGGTACTTTCGCAAGTCGATCCTCTGCCCCATTATTCAAAGCGGCGATCTTGGTCCTTCCTAGAAGGCGAATAGCTGAGACATTTGCTTTCCAGGCTCCGGGTGAGGAGAGGGCTCTACTCGTTCCGAATTCGGGGTCAAATCGAGGGATAAATAGGAGACTTGATTTGCTTTTTCGAAAATCATACCCCTAGAAGGTGCATATTGAGATATCAACTGCAAATCCCGATGCTTCATTGAGCTTGAAGGAATCGAAAATGAAGACTCCTTATCTCACTACCCATCTTGAGACGGCCTGTCAGACCTGGCAGAGGCTGCAACGACTGCTGGAACGTCAGGATGTCGAGGTAAATGGTACAAGCCTTGATATAGCGGCTGTGGTAGCCGTGGCACAGTAAGTATAGCCTGTCGCATTTCTAGTAGCTGCGAACGTGAAAACTGACAATCTTGATACCGCAGCCATGGGTGCATACCTAGGATGACTATGGACCCTGTTGTCCGAGGCAGCATCGAAGCTAGTGTTCGAGTCTTGATGGACCATCTGGACAAGGGTTACTGCGTATACGGTATTTTGCCTTGTTGCCAGCATTGACCTATTTAGACGTTAAGAAAATCCACAGGTGTCAATACAGGATTTGGTGGAAGCGCCGACTCTCGAACTGACAGAGTCGTTGCACTGCAGTCTGGACTGCTCCAACTTCTTCAGGCAGGCGTTCTAGTTGGATCAGACAAAGGCTTAGAGTGTCAACAGCGGTCGCTTGAATCGCACGCTATGCCTGCCTCGTGGGTGCGAGGCACAATGCTGGTTCGATGCAATTCGAACGCTCGTGGCCATTCTGCCGTTTCATTGCCTGTGATTGAGTCATTGCTGCGGCTGATCGAGAATCATATTACGCCTGTCGTACCTCTGAGAGGCTCCATCTCAGCTTCAGGCGACCTGATGCCGCTTTCCTACATCGCGGGAGCCATCGAAGGTAGTCCGGATGTATATGTGCAAGTTCAGGGTTCAGATAAAGCCTGCATCATGAACTCGCGCGATGCTTTGCTGTCCACGGGCCTCCAGGCACAGACCCTGGGCCCAAAGGAGGGCCTCGGCCTCGTCAATGGTACTTCAGCCTCTGCTGCACTGGCCAGTCTGGCCATGTATGAAGCGCATCAACTCGCTGTCCTAGTCCAGGCACTATCAGCCGTCACCGTGGAAGCCCTCATGGGCAACGCAGAAAGCTTCCACCCATTCATCTCCGTCATCCGCCCGCACGACGGGCAAATTGAATGCGCGAGAAATGTAATGTACTTTCTGCAAGGCTCGCAGCTCGCACAGAACCTGGAGCGGAATCGAAAAGACCGCAACCGTCCAGGCCTGATACAGGATCGCTACGCACTCCGCACCGTGCCACAGTGGATTGGCCCACAGCTCGAAGATCTCCTCCTCGCCCACCGGCAAGTCACCGTCGAACTCAATTCATCCTGTGACAACCCCCTAGTGGACGCGCAGTCCGACGACATCTTCTACGGCGGCAACTTCCAAGCCGTCTCCATCACGTCCGCCATGGAAAAGACCCGAACCTGTCTCCAGATGTTCGGCCGGCTCCTCTTCGCCCAGGCCACTGGGCTCATCGACCCAAGCCTCAACAACGGACTGCCCACCAACCTCGTCGCCGACGACCCCAGCCTCTCCTTCACCATGAAAGGCGTCGACATCAGCATGGCCTCTTACATGGCGGAGCTAGCCTACCTCGCCAACCCAGTCAGCTCCCACGTCCAGGCAGCCGAGATGCATAACCAGTCCGTCAACTCCATGGCCTTCGTGTCGAGCCGATACACTATGCAAGCAGTGGAAATCGTCTCCCTCATGTGCGCCTGCAGCCTCTACATCGGCTGCCAGGCACTAGACCTGCGCGTCCTCCACCTCACCTTCCTGCAGCTCTCAACGCCACAACTCCACACGCTCACCTCCCACCTGTTCTCCGAACACCTCTCCGACCCCGACCTCGCAACCCTCAACGAAGCCTTATCAACACATCTCCAGAAATCCTGGTCAACCACAACTCGGCTCAAGTCCACCGACCGCGTCGAAGAAGTGGTCACAAGCGCCCTCCCCATCTTGTGTCGAACATTTGCTTCCAGCACAGGTACAGGTACAAACCAAGCCCTGACCTTCTCCGACCTGGAGACGTGGAAATCCCGCGCCAGTACCCTCCTCAACGAGATCTACCAGGACACCTCGCACGCGTTTTTCAGCTACCAACACACGGAGGAACTGCTCGGAACGGGCTCGAAGATCCTATACCAGACGGTCCGGCGCCAGCTTGGCGTGCCGTTTCACCAGGGGTTCGTCGAGCATCCGACTGCGCAGAGTGATACGCTTGGCGGTCGTTCTAAGAAGACAGTTGGGTCTTGGATCTCAATCATCTACGAAGCAATCCGGGATGGTCGGCTGATGGATCCGCTGATGGCTTCGCTTCAGGCGGGGGTCGCTGGTGAGTCTGACTCTGAGGCCGTTGATACCTTGAAAGATGGTTCCAGTGCCAAGTGCTCTTCGAGCGGCTTGGATTAGTTTCCGGTTTTTATGAGTACTTCGTAGGGTGCACTATGATATTGCTCACAGGAGATGCGGCGTTAATCTACTTCTTTTTAGTCGTTACTGGGAGGACGGTATCTAGTAGTGTTTTTCTGAAGTTGTAGTACAATAATACATTCTTCATCATGTATATCACCTATTGACAGAGTAACGGTGTGCACAATGCCAGGAGTAGAGCGTTGTCGTACATACGGGACCCGTAGAAGTTGATGAGTCGTCCAGTTGACACAGCGACAGACGTTCACCCCAGCGCATCATTCACTGTATCATTCACTACCCTTTCACCCTCCGATCCCACACACGTAAACAAACTGCACCGCTCCTCTCTCCTTTGCCTCCCTTTCCCTCATTCCTCTCACCGCCTCACTTTCTATCCCCAACACCCATATGAACCCACGTGACATCCACGTGCCCTATCAATCTTGTCTACTATCCCCAATCATACTCATACTCAAAAGTTCCTTTGAGGGAAAATTAGAAACTCGTCAATTGCTTTGAAGCAGGCATGCCTCGTCGTCCTAGACAGGCGGGCCCGGCCCCCGCGCCTCCAGAGGGACTCGATCCTGACATCCCTGAGGTAGTGAGATCGCAGCCATATTCAGGAACAATGTCAGCAAAGACTCGACTTGCTTCTCATCTTCCTCCTTTGTATAAGCTGGAAGACATCTACGAGCATATGACCAAGAGAGCGCTGGAGCTCAACTTCGACGCGGTCTTGTCCCACTTGGGCTCGAAGCCTTTGCGTGTTGTCACCATGTGCTCGGGAACTGAGAGTCCTCTGCTTGCTTTGGAAATGGTGCAGAACGGTAAGTGACGACCTCTCCAGCTTCTTAATATTGCGAATTGACATTCTACTCAGTTCTCAGGAAAAGTTTTGGAAAGAACTTCGAGTTTCGTCATCTGTTTAGCGCTGAGATTGTGCCTTTCAAACAGGCATACATTGAGCGTAATTTCCATCCTCGATTCCTCTTCCGAGACGTAAAACAGCTGAAGAACCGCTTTGCGTGAGTAGATGCTTCGTTCGTCAAGCTTGAATGATCGTGCTGATCACCCTTTAGACAAACGGCGTATGGTTCTCTCGAGAAAATTCCCAAAAATCCTGATTTGGTTATCGCGGGATTTTCATGCGTCGACTTCTCCGGTTTGAACAATAAGAGAAAGACACTTGATGAACAGGGCGAGTCTGGAGGCACCTTCTGGGGTATCATTCGCTATGCCGTAGCCTACCGTCCGCGGATCGTCGTCCTGGAGAATGTCAAAACAGCGCCATGGGAAAAAATTGCAGAACATTGGAATGAGATAAACTATGTCGCTGTCCACAATAGCGTCGATACCAAGGCATATTATCTGCCACAGACCCGAGAACGGGGATACATGCTCTGTATCGACCGGAACCTCTTGGACAAGCATGGTCTTTCTGAACAGAGCGTGATGGATTGGTCAAAGATTTTCGACAATTTCAAACGTCCTGCGAGCTCCCCAGCAGGTATGTTCCTATTGGGCGCGGACGATCCAAG